CTATCAAACAGCGTCAATGGCGCCTCCTTTGCAAGTGCCTTAAAATCAGGCTTAGAAAACCATGCCCCTACAAAAACAGCACCTGAAGTTGCGCCGCAATAACAGCATCCCCATGCACAATACGGAAAACAATATAATATCGAAGCTATGATAGCGTCGATGCAACAAAAGATCATGAATTTCATGACTTTCATGCAAAACACAATGCAAGAACTCATTGCGAAATCAAAATACGCTGCTCAAANTTTGCAAGTGCCTTAAAATCAGGCTTAGAAAACCGTGCCCCTACAAAAACTGCACCTCAAGTTGCGCCGCAAGAACAGCATCCCCATGCACAATATGGTAAACAATCCAATATCGAAGCTATGATAGCGTCGATGCAACAAAGCATGATGAATTTCATGACTTTCATGCAAAACACAATGCAAGAACTCATGCGAAATCAAAATACGCTGCTCAACCTGCTTGCTACTCAGCAAACAAGATAATGACCTTACTTAAAATAGCCCTCTGGAATGCAAATGGCATTCCTCGCCACAAACTAGAGCTGTAAAAATTTCTTAAGGACAAGGAAATTCACATAATACTCCTTGCTGAAACACACCTAACTAATAGATATATTTCGACATTTTGGGATATACCTTTTATTGCACGAACCATCTAGATGGAAAGGCGCATTGCGGAACTGGTATTTTAGTTAGAAACCGGATTAAACACCATCATTTGACTGGAGTTGCCGAGAATTATCTGCAAGCAACATCAATATGCGTACAAAGAAAGCAAGGTGATATTACGCTGTCCGCGGTTTATTGTCCCCCACGTTTCACGATAACAGAAAAACAGTTTATGGATTTCTTCAGTTCGCTGGGAGAGCGCTTCCTTGCTGCAGGTGATTATAATGCGAAGCACCCTCACTGGGGCTCACGCTTGTCTAACCCTAAAGGCAAGCAATTATATAACGCGCTTATATGTAGAAGAAACAAACTCGATTACGCTTCTCCTGGAAAGCCTACATATTGGCCGGCAGACCCGCAAAAGTTGTCGGATTTGCTTGACTTTCGTGGACAACGAAATTCCTCGCGGCCTTATTAGTACAGAATCAGTTGCAGATCTCTAATCAGACCACTCATCTGTATTTTCACCGCAAGGAAAAGAGTCACCCTATATGCTCACGACAAGGGCTACAAATTGGTTAAAGTATAAAAAATATATCAGTGCGCATATAGACCTCGATCCAAATTTAGATACGCCGACCGATATTGAAAACCATAGCCGCTCTTGAATTACACTTAGAGCAGCCGCTAGCGTTTCCACAGAAAGGTTATGNACCATAGCCGCTCTTGAATTACACTTAGAGCAGCCGCTAGCGTTTCCACACCCCAGAAACATAACCTAACATAACATAACNCTAGCGTTTCCACACCCCAGAAAGGTTATGTGCAAGATAAAAAATATAATTTAACCAATAGGAAAATTGAAATGCTTGTATTGGAAAAACGACGCCTACGACGGATATGGCAGACTCATAGATCACCAGCATCAAAACAACTGCTCAAGGCGGCCACACATGCACTCACGAGAGCCCTCAAGAACAAGGAACAGTACGCACAGTACCGGTACATCCAAAAGCTCTCACCGACAAAATCTAAATGCGCCAATAGAGACTGAAATGCCAGTACGGGCCCATAATGGCAAATGGGCTCGGAGTTTTTAGGCCAAACCCCGCAACTAATGATTTTCAACTACCACCCGTAGCCAATATGTCAAAATGTGAGCCGCTGAAATTTGTACCTGAAGAAATTTCAAAAGTAATTAAGGATCAACTGCAACCAAATAAGGCCCCAGGGCACGACTTAATAACCCCAAAAATGATTATTGAGCTACCAAATTGTGCTGTACTTTGCATCTGTATGCTATTTAACGCAATCACTAAACATTGTCATTTCCCTCACCAATGGAAAAAGTCGACTATTGTGATGATACCAAAGCCCGGAAAGGACAAAACGCAGCCATCTTCATATAGGCCCATCAGCCTGCTACCGTGTATGTCGAAATTATTCGAAAAACTTCTTATGCTGCGCATCTCCCCACATCTGCAAGCCCGCAATATAATACCACTTCACCAATTTGGCTTCAGGGAAAAACATGGAACAATCGAGCCAGTAAATCGCATAACAACCGAAATCCCAACAGCGTTTGAAAAGAGGGAATATTGCGCTGCAATATTTCTTGACGTCGCCCAGGCATTTGATCGCGTCTGGCTAGACGGTCTTATGTATAAAATACAGATGCTACTCCCACAAAGCACACACAAACTGCTAAAGTCATACACTTATAATCGAAAGTTTGCAGTTCGATGTAACGCCACCATCTCTGAAGCCCATGCAATCGAAGCTGGAGTGACACAAGGCAGTGTCCTTGGCCCGATGCTGTATGTCTTATACACCGCGGATATTCCTAGAAACGACCGCCTGATAATGTCCACTTTTGCCGATGACACTGCCATAATCAGTCGCTCCAAGTGTCCTCTACAAGCAACCGCGCTCTTAGCAATCATATGGAAGCTGTTGCCAATTGGCTCGAAAACTGGCAAATAAAGGTTAACGAGCAAAAATATAGGCAAGTTACATTTACACTGAATAGGAGTAACTGTCCGTCCTGGACTTTAAACAACGTACAAATACCACAAAGCAATCATGTCACTTACCTAGGGGTCCATCTGGACAGGCGACTTACTTGGCGAAACCACATAGTGACTAAAAGGACTCATCTCAAGCTGAAGGCTAATTCTCTCCACTGGCTTATTAACTCTCGCTCACCCCCGAGTCTGGAGTATAAAGTACTTATTTACAATACAGTTTTAAAACCGATATAGACCTATGGATGTGAGTTATGAGGAAACGCGAGCAGCAGCAACATCGAAATCCTTCGTCCTTCGCAATCTCAAATCCTTCGAACGATCACCGGACCACCTTGGTATATCCGAAATGAGAACATTCACCGCGACTTGAGAATACCAGAAGTACGAACCGAAACAGAACAACGGAAGACGAAATATGTATCGAGGCTTTTAGTGCACCCAAATCATTTAGCAAGATCTTTATTGCGTGTCAACAGGACTTCAAGACTACATACGTAGGAATGACTTACCAGCCCAGTCGTAATCTTTTCTTAGGGCCAGTTAAGAAAATACTTATCCCAACTAGGGGATGTAAATTAAGTGAATAGATTAAGATTCGAAAACTTATTGTTAGGCTCTTAGGTAGGGCAGATTCAATAAATAAAAATAAAAAGTTAAAAAAAAAAAAAAATAAAAGTTTCTGGTGCCGAAAGGCTGGTAAATATTGAAAATGTAATTTTAAAATTTTATCCTTGAAATTTCTTAAAATTTGTTTTTGAAAAAATTATATGTTATGGGCTTATATAAACTCGATAACATCCTCGAATTTCGTTCTTCTAACTTTGTCAGCTTAAAAATTACCTATTCGTCCTTGTGAATCCAAAAAATTTAAATTTTTTAAATTCTAAAGACATTTCCTATTGCATTTGTTACCCATATTTTTATTCTACATTGCATTGAATTTTTTTTAACAATTTTTGGAATTAATCATATTTTTGAAATAACAAAGTCCTTCAAAATAAATCCTGCGGTCAGAGAGAAAAAATAAAAACGCCACTTTAAATAAAAAAGTAGGTTTCAGACCCATTTATTTATTATTTATTTCATGGCAGGAGAGCTTCTCAAACAATATAGAAGCAATTTTTTCTATTCAAGTTGTTGAAGAGTAATGAATATCTAAATCCCGGGACTAATTCCGGGATCCCGGGATTGTGACAACGCCATCCCGAAAATCCCGGGATCGGAAAAAGCCGAAAAATTAACATCCCTAGCAAGTGTGATTGTATATACATTAGGGTGGTCCAAAAATGCATGCGAAGAAGTAAAGTCGGAATTTTTATGCTCTACCCCCCAGGATTGTTCTATACCGAAAAAATATACCCTTATTTTTTATTCTGAAATCAAAAAATATTTANTTTCTATTCAAGTTGTTGAAGAGTAATGAATATCTAAATCCCGGGACTAATTCCGGGATCCCGGGATTGTGACAACGCCATCCCGAAAATCCCGGGATCGGAAAAAGCCGAAAAATTAACATCCCTAGCAAGTGTGATTGTATATACATTAGGGTGGTCCAAAAATGCATGCGAAGAAGTAAAGTCGGAATTTTTATGCTCTACCCCCCAGGATTGTTCTATACCGAAAAAATATACCCTTATTTTTTATTCTGAAATCAAAAAATATTTAGAAGTCGCTCAAAGCACCCAAAGTTATCCATGTATTTTATATGGGGAAAAAACAACTTTTCGTAGAAATGGTATAGAATAGTTAAATATCCATATTTTTTACCAGAAAACTGTTTATCTGCAGGAGATTCCCAATAATGTTACTCAATTGTTTATTTAACCATTTATTTATCGCAACTATAATTTATAGGTCCGCCAAAAACCCACAAAAATCCCCAAAAATGCTATGGGGCGACCAATAAAAAATCGTTAGTATTAAAAAATGGTTAAATAAACAATTGGGTATTATTATTGAAAGTCTCCTGAAGAGAACCAGAGTTTTCCGATCGAAAAATGTTGATTTTCAAGAACTCTATACCATTTCTACGAAAAATTTTATTTTTCCCATATAAAAATACATGGAAAACTTTCAGCGCTTCGAGCGACCTCTAAATATTTTTTGATTTTAAAATAAAAAAATAGGGGTATACTTTTTTTCGCTATAGAACAATCCTAGGGGGTGAGAGCATTACAATTCCGACTTTACTGTTGGTCCACCCCAATATACATATGTATACTGAGCAATTCCATTTAACAAATTTGAACCAAACTACTTGACTTGTTATAACGAAACTGCAAATTTGTTTTCACAACCAAAAAGCTTTCACACATAAAAGCTTGATTTTTATAGTTTTATTCATTGACTTTTCAAACAGGTAACTACAATAGCAGAAAATGCGCACTGGAGCTGCCGCCTCTGGGATTATATGTGTTCGATCCTATTTTTCCAACTGTGTGGAAATTGTTTCCTTGGAAACAAACAACTGACGCCTTATCTATAGAAATAAAGACTCTGAATAATATATTTGGGCTAACTATATCGGTTGAAGAGCATATGAAACCAGATTGGCTAAAGGTCCAATTAGGCTTGAGGGTAAGTAGTATGTATGTCCATATCGTCAATCTCGGCAATCCATAGCTATTTGATCATACTAAACATCTGGGGTGTTCAGACAAGTCCTATGCTACTGTGAAATGTTGCAGCGCTGAGCGGAATTTAACTCTTTCACAATGTTTAAAAAATTTGAAGCAGCTAAACTTAATGGTGCATTTACATGGTATGAATCTGGTTATAAGCCGTATGAATTTTCTATAAAAGAAGAACCAACTGTATGAAGAAATGAATGAAAGCGATATATATTTTACAATTTTGCATTTAGTATAGACATACATACTTTGCAAATATTCTTTTGTAAACAAAAAACAAACAATTAATTTTGCGCTAGCTCGAAACTAGCAGCTTATTTTTTTAATGTTCCTTAAAAAGGACGAGAACTGGTTGAAGTGTCCTGCTTCTCCTCCTGCTAATAATTTGCTTCCATTTAAACATATTTGTGGAAAACAGTTTTTTTTGTTAAAAAGTTTCTTGTTTATGTTTTTTCTCTTTCATATTACAAACGGTTGGCATAAGTTGAAATATTAGGGATGCCGTTTTCTTCCGTTTTTCAATGGATTTTATACTTCAAAACGCACCAAAATATTTATGAAATACTTCTACATACCGCACCCTATATCAAAAACAGTCACGACTAAAAATTTTTCCAAATTAATTTTTTTCCATTAATGGAAAAATACTACTAAGACTGTTTTTATTTTGCTGGCGCCGCTTGTGTAACATCAACAGATTTCTGCATTTCCTGAACATTTAAGGTTTTTTAGTTGTGACCGTTTTTGATTTAGGTTGCGATATATAGATTGGCGATATATAGATTGCCGCTTACACAATATGTTAGTTTTTGTCCTAGCTTTTCCAAAGGGGACGTATCTACAGTTTTACGCCGACTCCGAAAGGCGATCGTATTTTTATGGCAAGTTGTTTTCATGGCAGAATGCACTCGGAGTTAGCCATTGCCTGCCGAGGGGCAACCACTTTAAAAACAAAACTGGTTTGGAAAAAATTCCTATTGAAAATAATTCACATGCGTAAATAAAAAAATATAACTTTCGTAAATCTCAATTGGCATAGAAGAAAAACGACTGGCGTGTTTTATTAGATTCGGCCAAAATTTCTTCAGCGGTTACAGCGCTAAACAAAAGGAAGAATGAGAAAAAATAACAATGCGGACTTAGGCGGCGGTTCCGGTAAGAGCGAATGTTATTTGCGCGAATTCTCGCGACATCGCTTTAAGTCACTTAACCAATGTATGCAGATACATTGAAAGTGAGGTCGCGAGAAATCGCGCAAATAAAATTCGCCCTTATCGGAACCGCCCTCATATGCNTTTTTTCTTTAATTCCATTACAAGGAATTTCATATTGTAATTGGAATAAATTACGTGCTAGTAATGTAATTTCTTTTATTTCAATTCCTTTGAAAGGAATTGAAAATGTAATTTTTTTTCCAATTCCTTTCAAAGGAATTGAAAATGTAATTGATTTTTTTTCCAATTCCATTCCTCAAAGTAATTTAAAAAGTAATCGAAAAATTAATAAAAAAGAAATTTTTTACTGTTGAATTGCAATAGCTTTGTTAAATTTCGTGGTTGCTAACTGCGTTGAATAAACAACTTATACCTAAGTAGTATTACTAATTGGACTTTAAGAAAACTGAATAGCTTAAACTGTAGCTGTTCAGTTTATAGGGTAACGGTTAAATTTTCCAGATCCTACCGCGAACGCGCTTCGCGGCAGATGAGACCCATAAATGTTGCTGCCTTGGGCACTGCTGTTCTCTTGGACTAATCCCTGCGTATCTATAAAAATGCACCGAGTTAATTGCGTATATTATGGTACCCTTAATTCTACCCAAAATGGCGTGCCTTCTGGGGCCTTTGAAGTACTCTTACTGGTATCCTGCGTTACAAATGAGGATAGAGTCCGCTTGAATTACGAGCCCTGTGGGACTGGAGATCCTACCTCCTAAGAGTTTTATAAACAAATTTCATTGCTATGGCTAAATTTTGATGATAACACTGTAACGACGCTAAAATTACACAAAAAACGCCGAGAGACGTAAAATTAATTTTAAGTAGTATGTTACGGAACTGTATACCGTTTTTTTTTAGATAAGGTCATTTAGTCAAGTTATTTTCATTTTAAGTTTTCATTGCGAATGAAAAAAATCAAACTTAAACATGGTCATACGGTCATGTACGATATGGCGTATGGGTAACATTATTTCCTGCTAGTATTTTATACAAAAAATTATTACACTTTCACTTAACCCTTGCAAATCACAATGGGCTATGATCGGGCCTAAGTGTGCTGGCGCCCTCTGGGCCTAGCAGCCACTTCAACCTAACCCTTGCAAACTTGCTTATTTATCCATCGATTTTCATCGGTAGTAGTGTTTTAAGCCGCAAAACAGCAGATATTGGCTAGTCTATACTAATATATATTTTGAAAAGCATTTTTTTCTGTTCGCAAAGCTCGAGAAAGGCCGTACCGATTTTTTTGAAATTTCGGAATATACTGCAGACTTTCCACGGATGGTTATAGGCTAAAAAAAGTTTCGATATTGAAAGGGGGCGTGGCACCTCCCATACAAACCGAATTTTTCAAACTGCATATATTTGTGGTAGAGGACTAGAACTGGGTATGGTGATATATTCTTATATAAGACCAATTCCATACTCATGGAGAAAAATTTGCATGGTTGGAGAATGGGGCGTGGCACCTCCCATATAAACCGAACTTTTCACATTGCATATTTCTGGAAGTGTTCATGGTAGACTGTAAGCCTTTTTAAAACTCTTTAGTTTGACACCCACATGCCAACATTTCATTTACTTTATCAATTTAACTTAGTTACAATTCCCAAATAGGTGGCAGCCCCCCTCAAAAATATTTCCAACAGTTATCTTTCTTAAGGCGTTGGCCCAATGCAGGCTTGCTTTGAACGCCTTGCTTACTTTAAATTGTTTGGCCAAATGGGGCTTGGAACGCTGTCAAAGCAATCAGCTGTGCAGTTAAAAAGTCAAGGTCTGTTCCCTTACACTAAGAATAATTTTTCCACAAAATTCTAAAAATTAAAAAAAAAAAGAAATACAAAACAATATTTTCAGATTTATTTTTAAATTAATGCGAATTAATTTTTGCAATTCAAAGGAATGGTAATAATTATACATACATATATAAATATATGTACATTTATTAAAAACAAAAAACTAAAAAATATCGATTTTTCAAGCGACGACTGACCAGTAGTTTGACATCATAAATATCGCTAGCTTTGTGTGAAAAGTTGCTGAGTCTTCATTTTATGGAACCTCATATTTTTATATAGGAAGCAAGAGAAATTAAGGATTAAGGTACTTGTTTTATTTTTTCTCGTTTATATTCAATGAAAGACAAATTTTCTAAGTCCAAAGAGACCTCGAATATCCGATAAGGCCAAAATAATACGAAATCTTTTAACAAAGATCGAATCCTTCTGATTCGTATGGAGTTTTGCTTTGCTTTAAACATGCAAAATGTTGTATTCAAAGTTCTTGTAAAATTTGTAAAAATGGACTTAGCAATTTTTCACTTTAAGCCAGTGTCATGTTAAATATAGATATGGAATCATAGAATCGATTTTATTAACATACATACATTATACATATATTCTTTTTTAATTTAGTAAAATTTCTACATAAAAGTGTGCAGCAGTTTGTTTGAATTTATTTAGAACGGGAACATACCTTTTTGCCAAAAGCCTACAAAACTCTTTCAAATAAAACATTTGCCTATTTGAAACTTTGAGGCGCTTAAAGTAAGTGAAGCAAAGCTCCCATTTGGCCACCCGTCATACGTTTTAGTATATTCCAAATGACTTTTGACAGATCTCAAAGCGAAGCAAGCAAAGCAAGCCTGCATTGGACCAGTACCTTTAAACCTCTTTAATTTGATTATTGTAATATTTTATTTATTTTATCAATGTAATTTAGTTAAATTTTCAAACAGATGGCAATCCTCCTCAAACATATTTTCGGCGGTAAGCCTTCTAAAACTCTTTCGTTTGACACACCCACATGGCAATATTTCATTTTTTTTAACAATTTGACTGAGTTTAAATTTTCAAATAGGTGGCAACCCTCGTAAAAAATACTTCCAGCAGTTATCTTTCTTAAACCTCTTTAACTTGATACCCATATTGTAAAAATTCATTTATTTTATCAATATAATTGGGTTTAAAAATTTTTAAATAAGTGGCAACCCTCCAAATTTTTGCGATATCATTGGTTCTGGTATTATACCGAATAATTTAAAAAAAATTATTGAAATCGGTTTAGCCGTTCTCGGGTTTTGATGACCGTGACATACGAACACAACATTTTTATATATATAGATATACATAGAAGATGTCCAATGTGTGCTTTCGATTTTAATCTTTGACCACAACAAAAATTCCACATTGTACATTCGTGAATGAACTTTCAGTTTCTCGATTACTTTTACAATTCCTTTGAGTAATTGAAAAAACTAAAGTACTCTTGCAATTCCAGGTAATGGAATTGAAAGAAAATCAATTACATTTTCAATTCCTTTCAAAGGAATTGGAAAAAAAATTACATTACTAGCACGTAATTTATTCCAATTACAATATGAAATTCCTTGTAATGGAATTAAAGAAAAAACCAATTACATTTGAAATTACTTCAAGAAATTTAAAAAGTAATCGATTCCTTTGCTGTGTACTGAAGGAATGATTCCTAATAACAATTCCTTGTAATCTGTAATTGGGAGTAATTTAATTCCTAAAGGAATCATTACGACCCAGCTCTGGCAAATATACACCTATTCTTCTACAATCGCAAAAAATGTTGTGGGTTGTTTTTCTTTGACATAGAAATTGGAAATACATCACGATCATATTGTACCAAAATAAGAAAAACGCCGTCTGGTTTCCCTGCATTTTGTAAAAGCCAGAAACATCAACTGTATGAAAAAATT